GGAAATTATTTTCTATTATTGCAAATATTGTAGCTATTGTTTTGCTCTTATTTCTTCCATGTACTGGACCCATGGTTATTACATTCTCTTGGTCGTTTCTTGGATAGAAAGATCTATAGGTTTTGCTACTTGTTTGTTAATTATTTCCATATCTTTATAGTCCTAGTCCATTGACACCCTGTGCATTGCATAGTAGGGTATTCATTGCTCATACACCTATTTATGATATTATCACTTTTTAATTATGAAACCACATGCAAGGTCTTGGTTTGGTACTTGACCTAAACCCCTTGTTTATTTTAAGTTTCTTATTCAACTAATTTCACAATATAGGGAAGTTCATCACTTGGCCCTTATCTATTTGCATTGATCAAAGATGCATTGACTAAACATATTTGGGAGGAAGTTCCATGGTGCATGTTATTTGTGGATGACATTGTTTTTATTGATGAAACTAATGAAGGATTAAATGTAAAATTAAGGTTATGGACAAATGCCCTAGAAACAAGAGGTTTTAAAATGGGCAAGACTAAAACATGTGATTTTAGTACATTCATCAAAAAAAAAAATGTGATTTTAGTAATAATGGGAGCATAAATCAGGATACACTTAAGTAAAGACATAACACAATGTGAACATTTCCAATACCTTGGTTCAATAGTTCATAACAAGTGAGATCTTGAGGAGGATGTCAGTGTCACCCGGAGAATTAGAGTAGGATGGGCAAGATGGAAGGGGTGCATCTAGACTTCTATGTAATAGGAAAATACCACTTAGATTAAAATGAAAATTCTATTAAACAGTTGTAAGGCCAGCTATGGTGTAAGGAACAGAGTGTTGGGCAGTCAAGAAACATGTCCAAGTATCTCCAATAGGTGATAGAATATGAGAAAGTAGACTAAGTTGTTTTGGCCACATGATAGAAGACCATCAATAGCACCAGTAAGAAGAAGTGATTTGCTATAAGTTGAAGGGCTAGAAGGGATAAAAGGACATGGGTAGAAGTACTAAGAAATGATTTAAGCACTAATAATTTTACAGTGGATATGGCATTAATATAATGGATTAGCAAAACAGGATACATGTAGCCAACCCCATATGGTTGGGATAAGGCATGGATGATGATGATGAGGGAAGGTGGGGACCGGTAAAATTTTTAATTGGATCTGAATTCGGATATTGTTTGATCTGATTCAAATTTGATCCGTTTACACCGGAGATGGAGATTTGCCTTGGCAGGGTAGGGACGGGTATGGGGATTAATAGGGGTCCCCAACCAGGGACAGGATCAGGGATGGGAAGTGAACTCATCCTGCCCAGATGGGGCCAGGGAGGTCAAGTACCCAGCAGGGATGGGGAAAATTGCCATTCCTAGTCTATAGGAGGCATCCGTATATGGGGCAATTGGAGATAATATGGCATTAAATGATAAAAATGGCTGAAATGGGAAAAAATGGGTTTTGATTTAAAATAACGAAAACCATACTTGGATTAGTTTTTGTCTTTTAGGGATGTTGGATGAACTCCTTTGGTGAAGAATTTGTGAACTGTAGGGACGTTGGATGTTGATGCTTGTAATGGCTGCTTACAAAGTTAGAGGGGGGATTTGTGAACTGTTGATGGTTGTAACGACAGACCAGGATTCATGTAGTTGACCTCGTATTGTTTGAACAAGGCTTAATTGAGTTGAAATGGAAAAAGAGGAGAGAGAAACCTTGAATAACTTAATAGGGACCTAGAACCATTGTAGGGTGTGCAAATTACTCATCACTCTTGTCATAAGCTTTTAGAACTCAAATAAAATCCTAATAGAATTAAGAAACTAAAAATATTGAATTACTACTATTCATACTTTTTTTATCAGTAAGACTCAATTTTATTAACATGAGGTTAAGAATATGTACAAGCGAAGGTCCTAGACACCCTAAAACTTGTATGTACATTTTTGAACACCATGATACCATCCTGCTTTAATTCAAAGAAAAATAGATAACTCCTACGCTACTTATGCTATGATTTTTGATACTTCAAACATAAACCAACTATAGGCTTATAGCTAGAAATTCAGACCCTATGGTTGGACATAAAATTGTGAAGTAACAAATGTACCCCTAATTTCTAAAAATACAAAAATATATAACAAACTCAAAAAATCCCATATCTGACCACTTGGTTCCTGTAGCATTTGCTTTGCCTATATGCAAGTTCAACAAAGATAAAACACTTTGTTGAACACTTTCATTTATCAAAAAAAAAAAAAAGAAAAAGAAAAACAAAGATAAAACACTTGGGGTAGTCAATATTTTTAACATTTCCATTAACACTAAAGATAACTACACCTTATTGGTAAAAGAAAAGTCAGTTGTTTTTTGATTGGCCAAAAGTTCAAATGATTTACATGAAACATATTCTTTTCATTTTTTCTTCTAAAAGCAGTGTCAATTTTATAGTTTGATCCATGTGAAAATCACTCTAGAGTCCAGACCATTCATCTAAATTTCTTCCTAGAATTAACATCTCCAA